ACAGTTCCCTGTGGATCATGGTCTCTTGGCTCTGCAGAGCCGAGGACAAGACCAAGAAGCCCTAGACAGTGTCACAGGAGTGAGGCAGTCAGAGCCCATGCAGCCCACATCCCTATGTAAGCTGAAGATTGGGAAGTCTACATTGAAGGGCACAAAACTGAGAACCAGCCTTAACTAAGCCACCCAGTGGCATCTGGGTGCCACAGCCACCCTGGACAGTACAGCCTCTCTGTCTTCAATACCCTCACAAAGCTCCTTTTCTCTGGGGCTTTACTCAAAGTGACAAAATCTGCTCAATTCCCTAATCCTGTGCTGGGGGATGGGGAGAAGAGGGTAGCAAAGACCACTTGGCTCATTTTCTACTTGACAAATTTTGGATGCTACTACCTGCTGAAGTAGCTCTGGTGACTTAGTGGTTCTACTACCAACCCTAAAGGCATGTAGTTCAAATCCATCCGCTGCTTCACAGGAGAAAGATGGCCAATTTCTTCCCATGCGATTGTTTCAGAAAATCCACTGGAGGAAAAACTTAAAAGTACATAAAAGCTACAACTCAAAAGTACATAACAAAAACAGCCACCTGCTAAGTGACAAAAAGAAAATAAGCAGGGAAAGGTGAGGGGGTGGGTACAGAGGGGGCCCAACAGGTAGTCCCTTAAGAGGGGGGTACAGTGGGGAGCGACAGCAGAAGTCTGAGTAGAAGCTCCGAAGTAACCATATCCCTGGTGGGTGATGTCCCCATAGGGGGCCCTGGAGGGGCAAGGGACCATGTTAGAAGAGGAATTTGTGCGATCTTGTTTCTTCCCAGCCTCCACACTACAGCCACCTGCTAAGAAGATACCCTTTGCCTCTGTATCAGATAAAGGAGGGCTGCAGGGGTAGCGGCATGGCAAAAGTAGGCATCTAATATTAATTAAATTAAAAAAAATATTGTTTTTATAGCTTCTATTTGATTTTTATTTATACTTTGATACACTTACAGTGAAATAAGAAATTCTGTTTGTGACTTGGCTCTGAGACTACACAAGAGAGGATTCTGGACATCTCTGTGGATAGCCTGGACCCAGAATAGAAAGGACACTGTATCATCTCAGGGAGGTATAGTCCTTAAGGGGCTGAGACACAAAGTCCAGTCTACCACATATTTGTGCAACAGTGTGACCCTGGTACCGTACAGCATGGAGGTTTCTCTTTCAGAGTAGGCCTCTCCTTCCTGCCTCTACTCATTCACCCACATGCCCTCACCAGAGCCTGAAGTAACAGGGACCACTGTTCATCTCCAAACACTATCCCACCCACCCTTCAGGCTGGCTTGCTATCTCCAGACTCATCTGCCTGACTCGCAATTTTCCAGAAGACTTTAGCTTCCCCATGGCAACACATACAGGAATAAGCTTGCTTTCAAGCACTTTATAATTTGTTACCTAAACTATGCCTAACCACAAATCTAGAGCAAATATATATATATTAAATTATGTTCCATGTTTCAGACCCTCTTTTGGAATGCTTCGTGTACATGAAACCCTGACTTCACCCTACATGTTGTTGTTGTTAAGCGCTGTCAAGTTGTAGATGACTCATAGAGACTCTATGAACGAAAGACCTGAACACTTGTCTTTCATCCTTTCTCCAGGTTTATAGGGTTCCTGGAGGCAAGCTATTTCAAAAGTGGATGTCACTACTGCTTCCAAGCTTGTTTAATCGTGAAGGTCCACCAAACACTGTCCACCATGGGTAACCATTACCACATTTGATGCATCAGTGTCACAGTGTTTAGAATCACAGCAACCATGAGTTACCTCCAGCAAATGGAGAGACCAGGGCTATACCACTTAGGAGAATGTTTGACCAAAAACAATTAAAAACCAAGCCTGAGGACCTCAGATTAAAATCACCCACCTTTGACTTGGTAGCACAAGTTTCTATCCTCCAGGCCCACAAGAGATTCAGTTTCTAAGCAGACAAGATAGAAAATACATATTTCAGATCTCACACTAACTCATACTCCCTGGGCTTGGGAAATGGTTCTCTGCCTCCCCTCACAGCAAGTCTGGGAAGTCTAAGAGTGATAGAAAGGTTCAGAAAAGCCCAAATTAAAGCAGGAGTACTGCCTAGACCCTATAAATGGAATCCACAGAGATTGAAAGTACAAGTAGCACCTGAAGGATGCACAGGGATACTCTTTGCCAACAAAAGCAAATGTCTCTCCTTCTATCCTTTGAGTCCACCCAGAACTGGTCAATCATTGCCTCAACTTCAAAAGATGGCCACTGGCGCACCTTATCTGCTGCTCCTAAGTCACCCCCAGAGTCAGGTTCTCTCTCCCATCAGTGATCCTTTGCATCATGCAATGCCTGGGGGCATTTAGCATGCAGTTCTCAGGCTGCAGGGATTTTATGAGGTGTCTGGAGATTTACCTACCAGAAGCTTCCTCCTAAATGTTGAAGCCTGACATAGGCAATCGGTTTTAAACTTGTCTAAACACAAAACTAAACCCGGTGTCCTTGAGTCAATGAGAACTCACATCAACCCTTGGCTCAGTAAGAAATATAGCAATCAAAGAAAACACACACATATACAAAAATAAGAGACATGACTGTAGAATAAGGGGTAACTCCTCAAACTCAAAAAACATACCTTTGTGGACAAAAACTCACTTCTTTGCCTGTACTGCCCTAACTCTGCTGCTAGTGTGAGCTTTAACTAGAATCACGCCAACGACAGTGGTTTGGGAATCTTCATTGATCAACGTCAGCGGAAAGGTTAGAACTTCACGTGTAAAACCCTCTGCAAGAGTACTGCAGACGACTTATACACGTACAGCGGCTTCACTCAGATGTAATTACACTGGACTTAAACACGGACAAGCCAAATGACTGCAGGACAGGGCCTTTCAGTGATGCTCGGACCTTCGGGGGAAACTATCCTGGACATGTACGTTTGATGTGAGGCCCCCACCAGGTTTCCATGAGGCGTGTACCGGCAGGAAGTCCCTCCCAAAGGACCAGAAGCTCCCGCTACAAGCGGCCATGCAGACTCGTGCCCTGCTCCCGCGCCACCCACACCCCGAGAGGTCTCCGCCACTCACCGTCCGAGAAGGTCCGGCCCAGGCCGGCTGCCGCCAGCCCGGCCAGCGGGCGCAGCAACATACACAACTCCCGGGCACTAGATAGTCCGCGGGCACTCACCCGCCCCCGTGGGCGTCAGCGCCGCATCGCCTTCCGGTGCAGTGACGTAATCCCCGCGCGACGCTGCGCTGCCGCCGACCTCGCGGGCGTTTCAACAAGAGGAACAGCAGTGGTGACACTTTTGTGACCGCGTGAGTAGCTTCAAACCCTGTACCACCTAACGAATGGAGGCCTAGATGTCCTCAGAGCCCCTTCTGGGGCGGCAGAGATGGCCAAATGTTGGTGTTTAAAAGTCTCAGCCATCTCCTTCCCACTCTATCGTCAGATGCAGAAAAGGACTGGAAGGGGAAGGGTTTTCGCTGGAACTTCGGGCGAGAGAGAGGGTTGGACCCGCAAAGATCCTTCCCACATCACAGACAGCCCTTAGCCCTCGGGGCGCTGCTCTCTAATGCGTTCGACGGCTATTCGTACTCGGTTGATCCTTGTTTCCTTGGTTTTGGAGACAGGAAAGGAAAAGGAATGAACCGCAATGTAAGAAATTTACTAGACAATTTTATGTTAGACACAATGTTGCTATGTCCCATCGAATCACTTGCTGCCCATAGTTTTGTTCAAGTTCTGAACCCTGCTCTATCCTGAGCGAACATCATTGTCTCGGACGCACCTACCCCCCTTACACCAGTCACTGAGTCAATCCATCTCATCCAGAGTCTTTTCTCTCTTGTGCTGGCCCTCCACCCTCCCAAGCATGACCCTCTCCAAGGACATGTTTCTCCGTGAAACATGCCCAAAGTATGTCAGACGAAGCTTCAGAATCCGTGCCTCCAAGGAGCATCCTGGTTTCACTCTCTCCAGAACCAACCTGTTTGTTCTTCCAGTAGTCCGTAGTATATTCAGTACTCTTCTCCAGCACCACAGCTCATAGGCATCAAATCTCCTTGTATCATCCCTAGTCATTGTCCAGCTTTTTGAAGAATAGCAACGAATTAAGAAGACTGTGGCCTAGAACAGGCACAACTTAGTCTCTGGAATGATATTGTTGCCATTCAGTACTCTGGAGAGGTCCCTGATAGCAGTGCAATTTGTTTTTTTATTTCCTGGCTCCTCGTACCAAGAGTGTTGATTATGGAGCCAAGCTGAAGCTGTTGACAATTTCAATCTCTTCACCATCTATCATCATGCTACCAGTCGACCCAGTGGTGAGAATAGGGACTTTTAAATTCCATTTGCTACCAAGTTAGGATTCCTCTTTTCAGATACCTTTCTGGTGAAAAGAGCTTTGGTTGCCTAAGTTGCACTGCCAACAAAAAGACAAGCAGTTCAAATCCATCTGTTCCTCTGCAGGAGAATGATGAGCAGTCTGCCCTTGTGCAATTAACAACCTCTGGAAACTCCCTGGAGGGTCAGCAATGAGTCAATTCCTACTAGACTACAAAAGAAGTCTGAATATTTGACATTTCAAATATTTGGTATTTGAATCTCCTGCCTTTTGACTTGTGGAAACTGCAACACAGAAACGAAATCATGATAAAAATGGACTTTAATTCACTTTCTATTAATAAGCATGATAATCCTCACCTCACTGCATTTTTGTGTTACCTTAGGAAAACAAAGTTTGGATTCATCACTACCCATTACATTGCATTCCATTTCCTGGCTTTGCTCCACCTGAATCTTTTTTTTAAATGCTAAATCCAGGTTGAAATCTTTGCAGATTGTAGGGAGAAACAAAAAAAAATTTCTTATGTATTGGGTTTTGTAGCTTCAATATTGGGTAGGATTAAACAAGGTCTAATTAGGTCTTTCTATCTTTTTCTTTCTCTAGCAGGTCACACGTCAGGTCAGCGGCTACCTCCACGTGTCTAAGGAGGAATGGCAGCTGTGGGAAGCATGTCTGGGTAAGCATAGGCTTCTGGGTTTCTTTGAATTATTGTCATGAGCTGCCTGTGTGAATACCCACTTGCTAGCCTTATGCTATGCTGCCTTAGAGAAATCCCTCTGAGTTGTTTTATCTGGAAATTGCATATAATAGGACCCGTCAACAGGGTGTTGAGGAAGGAATATGAATTACTTGTGAGTACTTAGTACCTCGTAGATGCTGGTGGTGGTTTTCATCACCTTTTTTAAAACCTGCGACCTGGTGTGAGAATGCCATGAGCTTTCTTGCCATCACCATCAGAATGACTTCTCTCTCTACCTTTTTCTCCTTACCCCCTGTCCTCCCCAAAGTGAGATTTATATGACCACAGTGTGTGTTGCCGGAATGAAATATTAAAGCACATGTTTCAGGTTACTATGGAACTCAGAGGCATCTGGTACCTGAAGCCATAAGACTCTGGGTATTTGTGTTCTCTTGAGGACTCTTCTCCTGGGAAAAGTTTGTGTTGGAACTCCTGCTAGTTGGCCACCATCTGCCTTCAAGAAATAGCTCAAATCCCTCTGCCAAGCTATCTCTCCAAGTTTTATGCCACGTTTAGTCCTGTGTTTTCTGTAATAGCTCTCTTATGGCCACCCCACCCCACCACACATACAGGTCCTGACCAGGCTCTGAAGCTCATGTGCTATTTGTTTTTTCCTCTGTTTCCATGTTTCTCAATAAACTCACTAATGCTGAGTCAGAACTGACTTTTAATTGACCCTCCTGTGGGTTTCCAAGTTTTTAAGTTATACAGGTAGAGATTGCCTATCTTTTTCTTGCAGAACGGCTGGTGGATTCAGATTGCCAGAGAGGCTCTACCTTTGGATTAGCAGGTCATTTCCCATAGTCATAGGACTGTGCCACCAGAACTCCTTCATGGTGTGTAGTGCACTTTTGAAAGGAGGACCTGAACTCATTTAACCAAGATATACCAAACATATGCTGGAGGATTTAACCAAGATATACCAAACATATGCTGGAGGTCTGGGACTTATCAGTGAATATGATACCATTTTTCTTCTCAGAATGTCACAGTCTGTTGGGGGAGATGGTCACAGACCAAGGCAGGATCATCTGGGACAATGCTCTTATAGTCAGTGAAGGGTGTGTGGAAACCACACTGAAGGCAGACACAAGTGTGGCTGTCCTTGTGGAATTATGACATGGTTAGATATGTTGCTTGCAGAAACAGAGGAGAGACTGTGAGAGAGTTGGAAATCCCAAAAGTTCTGTGCATAGTTCTAGAGTGGGGGCCCGATTTATACAAACTGATTTTTAGAGAAATTTTTTCTTTGTGTGGAGACTTGAGTGTCAGTGGAGGCACCATTGATGAAAGAGGCTTTTAAGAGGATCTGGCATAGATATGTGACGTCTGACTTACTGAAATGTAAGGGGCGGAGGACGGAGAACTGTTTTTTACAAGAGCATGAGACCACTTCTGGGATATATCACAGTTCTAAGAAATCCTAGCAGTGTTTCATACATCTTGCTCCTTATGCCTAGAGGGAAGAGGATTAACTGTAGAGTGTCTGGGGACCAAAAGGCTAGGATAACCTCATTTTTGGAATGAGGAAGCTCAGACCTTCATGTGGGTTAGTGTCAGCACTGGGACAGGGCACTTCTTTTCCCTTTCATGTCAAGAATGTGTACTTTCTGTTGTATTTAATCTGATAGCTAAATGCCAGCCATGTTTAAAGTGGACCCCAAATCTTTCCCTTGAAAGCCAGCATCTTGCTATATATCCAGAGATCTGGGCCAGCCAGTCAATGACTGAAACTTGTGGACTCCCAGCATCTCTTCTGTCCTTGACTATCTGGACAACCATCACAGTGACCTCTTCCTGACAGGGATTCATGCATTAGTGGCTTTGACCACAGCTTGCAGCTTTCAGGCCCGCAACCTCTTCCCCCAGCACACTTCCTTGGCTCACCAAGGCTTATTGGTGTCATCTGAGACAGGGTTGATGTGTGGAGACCCCAGTCCTTCCACTGCCTTCTCCATAGGGCTGTCTGAAGCTGTCATTACAAGCCTGCATGCTCGTCTCTCTTCTCTGGAACCTGGCCCTAGCAACCTGTAGCTGGCTGTTTTGATGTTTAGCATCAGTGCCTTTGATATGTGCTTTTCTGTCTAGTCAGCACTTGAAGCTTCTCTTTCCAATGATGATAGCACAAAATTTGGGACACATTCTCACACCTGTGATCCATAAGTATATCTAGTTCTTCAGGTGACCTTAAGATGCTTACTGGCTGACAGACGTGGGACCATATTGAGGTTCTTTCACCTCTGAGTGTGTGTGTGCTTTCCTGCAGCCTTCTGCGGCAGAGTATCATGCAGAGAGCTGCCACCTCATCTTGTCACCTGCACACATCGCTTGGGCGGGCTGACTGCAACAGGGCATCACTCACACGGCTTCACAGGCAGGCCTATGCACGCCTCTATCCAGTGCTTTTAGTGAAGCAAGATGGTGCCACCATCCACATCCGCTACAGGGAGCCACGACGCATGCTGGTGGTAAGTGCCACAGCCTGAGCTATGAGTTTAGGGGAGGCAGGAGGCCTTGAATTTATACCATAGCTAGTCCCCACGAAGAGAGCTGCCTCAGGTAAACCTCTCTTCTTGGAGGTTCTGGACCAATTGGCCCTGAACAAACACATGACTTACGCGTCCCAGAACTGTCAACAGTAACAGTGCCACAAGTCAGTGGGGAAGGGAGAGTTTTGGTCAGCAACGACTTTTGTATGATATGAACCTGATTAAGATCTTGAGCTCACTTCAAGTGACCAAGTGTATACAAGATTAATGAGTTGCATGTGTAGAAAAAAAGCAGGTCCTGGGCAAACATTCGGGAAGAAATTTGGTTTAAGGAAAAAAAGCTTAGACAATAAGGGGAAAGAAACAACTGAATATGTATAATTAAAGCACTGAATGGTGGAATAAAAGTGAGATAAAGGAAATACTTCCCCCTGACCCCGACATGATTTGAACACGCAACCTTCTGATCTGGAGTCAGACGCGCTACCGTTGTGCCACGAGGTCACAAGGAAATACTTAAGAAAATGCCATTTTAGTAAGAAAATTTCTTAAGTTTTACCTCAGATCAGGCTGATAGTAGCTTTTTTTCTGGCTTAGCGCCCTTCTCCTGAGTAGTTTTGGGGTGCCTGCCCCAAACACCACTTCCTAACTTCTATTAGGCTTCTTAACTTTTCCCACAGATGCCTATAGACCTCGACACCCTGTCTCCTGAAGAGAGAAAGGCTCGCTACCGAAAACGTGAGGCCAAATCCAAAGAGAAGAAAGAGGAGCCAGAAGTCAAGGATGACTTTGATGTGGAGCAGTACAAACAATTTTGGTCCAAAAAGTGACTGTTCCTTGATTTAACCAGGAAGGAAATTGTGGCAAGATAGGAGTGAGATGTCTTCTTCCTACTGTACGTGTTTTTAAAAGTACATGTTAGAAACCTTACTATTGTCTCACTTTGGTATCTGCTCCTTTGCGTTCTGTGTTAGCCTTTGACACGGTCTGAATTGCCCTGCCCTGTAGGGCACTACGCAAGTCTGCTTAATGCTTGAGAGCCTGCCACCTGGCCTACTACAGGGCTCTGAGGAAGACACATTCTGCTGGAGGCGTTCAGTAGGGAGCAATTATCAGTTGTCATGAATTCCTACTCAGGCCTGCAGCATTTTGCTATTAGAATTGATGACACTTGTTAAGTCTATGACTTGCCTTCTTTCTGCCCCAGGATTTGATTTCACACACAGGCCCAAAAGAATCATTTCCAACCATTCCAACTTGCAGCCACCACCCTCCCCATGCCTAGGAGCTGGTGGTGTCCTGGGCCTAGCTGAGCCTTGACTCTCAAGCTCTTTGCAGACCTGAAGAGCTTTGAAGACCACTGGGATGGCTGAAGTGTGACTATGGTGTTGAGGTTATTCCCCAGAGGGAAAGTCCCTCAAGGTTTGTGTTTGCTGCTGTTGTTGTTGTTATGTGCCGTCGAGTCGTGTTTGTAGATCGACTGAAAAACTGAGCTAGAGACAAACTAAGAGACATTAGTTTATTGAGACAAGAAAGTTACTGACCAGGAGAAAGATGCAGCACTATACGGATTCTGGTGGCAGTGGGCCAGATAATTATTGTTAAAGATAGGAGAAAACAACTAAGTATTTTATACCTCTACACAAATACCCTCCACTGTGTAACAAAATCAAGAATTAGCTCTAAGAGAAAGGACCAACCAGACTCTGGCACTCAGTGTGGAGGCGGATGGAAACATGGTAGAGTCTTCTGGAGGGAAAAGAATTTAAACCCATAGGAGACCAGTGTGACTGAGGACTGCATAAAAAATACTGTGCATCTCCGCCGGACCCGGGGAGGCCTGGCCGGGCCGGGAGCGCACCGTGGACACCCCGGTGCCGTGCGGACCCTACGCCCCGGCCTTAGTTTCACTTTTTGCTTTTGCTCCACTGCGGAGGGAAGGCAGGACGGGAGTGCCGACAAGATGGCGGACGGGGAGCTGAACGTGGATAGTCTCATCACCCGATTACTGGAGGAACTCTACTATGCTTAGTGGTAACGGCGGGAGCTGCGGCCCGGCGGGAGCTGCATCACTACTGACCTGCCCTTGGGTTGACTCAGCAATTCTGGTAAATCACCACCTGTAGCAGAATCATCACCCGTACTAGCCACCCCAGAGGAAATCGCTGAGATGCAAAGGAAAAATGAGCTGAAACTCAAGATAAAGGAAGAACATCTTGCTGCTTTGCAGTTTGAAGGCTGCAGCACTTCCATGATACATCTTCAAGGATATGAGCATGTACGGCTGGGCACAGTTGATGGCAGTGCATCTAAATTCCAGGGTGGATCTCCATAATAGTCTGTGTGTTTCCTACGGCCGGCCAAAGGGGCCCTTTAGAGTAGTGAGAGAAGACCTTCACCCTGAAACCCACAGTGTCCCTTTTCAGCAGGAAGTAGCTAAGAGAATGTGCCATCCCCTTTTTCTTATGAATCAGGGTGAAGTCTCTCTCAGGGAGGAGAAATAGGGAATGGCAAGGGACACACTGACAAGGGAGATTGATCAGAACTGGCTTTGGCGGGCACTGTGGCAATTGGACAATTAAAACAGACATGGCGGGGGAGGGAGGAACGGACTGGGGAGGAGGATGGAGAAAGCGGTGCAACAATGAATGAATGAAAACCCAAAATCTCTGTAAATGTTCATTAAAACTAATAAAATTTAATTAAAAAAATCAAGAATTACAGGCTGATGGGACAATGTTAGCAATACACAAGCTTAGTTTAAGGGGGAAAAGCCCAAGTCTAATAAAAGAAACAGGTTTAAAACTCAGCCAATTTAGCATAAGTATAGCCCTTTGAAGGTATTTATAAGATATACCATACATATGGCCTGAATGCAGCTGCCCTCGCGTAAGTGGCCACACGGAAGGTGGCCCGCAAGAACACTCAGCCACCAGACCGCTCACTTCCCACTTGACTGCTCTGCTTCTTCTCAACCCTCCTGTTCCTCTACCTCCATGAGAAGACACCAGCAGTCTCTGTCTATTCAGATTTCTACCTACACTGGAATCTCACTGTGAAGAGTCCCTCACTAAGTATTAATAGAACTCCTGGGCCATTCTCATCACTTATTTTCATAGCTAGACCCCTCAGAGTTGTGTGCACACGTCATCTCTCCACTTGCTGTTTTGATTTCATCAGTCTTTCAGCCCAGTCTTACTGAAACTGCTGTTGCCATGGTCACTGGCATCCTCCATGTTGCTCAACCTAAAGGTCAGTTTGCATCCATCTCCATATGTTGGCCCTTTGGTTACTTTACCTAATCTCAGGAATTCTAAAGCTGTGTATACTAGTGACTTTTCAGATGTGCCCCTGCAGTCTGGGCCACCAGCTTGCATCCCAGACCATTCCCATCCCTTCATTACTCTGACTTACTTGTCTCAAGTCCTTTCTCATCTCATCCTCATGATGTGGCCCATTGGAGCCATGTTTGGCTCTCATCCCGCATTTATCTTGGGCAAACCTGGACTCGGGCATACTCATGTCTTCTCTATTATCTGTTTTAACAGTGGACTTCTGTTTTCACAGTTTATCTAGGTACCACCACAAATCCACCTGGTCTGTGGTACCTCCACCTTGGATGGCTATATTCCGTTTCCCCTCAATACTTGTAACCTGTTTTTTACACCTGTTACCAGGGCCCTTTCTCTGTGCATCACCATGAGACTCTGGTTTCCAGGGTAAAATCTTAAACCCTAATAATGTCTTTGAAACCACCATCACTCCACCACTTAGTACCTTGCTGTGCCTTGTTGTACAAGGTGTGCAGTGCTCTTCCTGCCCCTTGTTGCTGCACTTCCTCCAAACATCTGCTTGCGCTCATTGATTGCTTGGTCACCAAATATTTGGCAACGGTATTTACTTACGTGTGGTTTGTCCTTACACTAGAGTGTAAGCTCACTGCTTAGTCCCCAGCACCTGACACAGTGGAGCCAAGCAGACTAAAGTTGTTAACAATCTCAATCTCTTCACCATCCATCCTGATGCAGCCAATTGGCCCAGTGGTGAGAATCTTTGTCTTCTTGACATTGAGCCTCAATCCATACTGAAGGCTGCAGACCTTGACCCTCTGCAGCAAGCATTTCAGGTCCTCCTCAGTTTCAGCAAGCAGGGTTGTGTCATCTGTGCCACACTTCTCTTCATAGAGCCCCAGCCTGCCGGATAATCTGTTCTGCATACAGGTTGAAAAGGTATGGAGATAGGACACATCCCTGGCGTACGCCTTTCCCAATTTTGAACCATGCAGTGTTTCCTTGCTCTGTTCTGTGGACTGCGTCTTGGTCCAAGTATAGGTTTCACATTAGAACCATCAGGTGTTCTGGGATTCCCATTCTTCTCAGAGTCAGCCACAAGTTTGTTATGATCCACACAGTCAAACGATATTCTTCTGGTATTCCCTGCTTTCAGCTAAAATCAATCTAACATCAGTTACAATATCCCTAGTACCACTACCCCTTCTAAACCCACAATTTGGCAAATAGAGTATTATTGTGATGCACTACTGAATTTGTGAAATCTTACATATATGCTGTTTTTAAACTGTGGTGGTAAATGATGTGTTTATCCAGAAATATTTTAAAACTATTATTTTACTTCTACTATTGGCAGTTACATCCAATGATCTTGTAGTGCAAAATAGAGATTTTAGGAACATTCCTGAACAAGTTTGTTGATATTCTGGGCTTTCTTCTCCACATTGGCCAATAAAAATAAATATAATGACGTTTGAAGTCATGTTGTTTGTTGTGTGCCATAGAGTCAGAACCGACTCATAGCTGACTCTCGGGCGGGTTTTCAGAAGCAGTTAATTACAAGGGGAAGAGATTGCCCCTCCTACTTCCAGAGCAGCTGGTAGCCTCCAGCCTAAATAGCCACAGTAATTTCAACAGTACTCAAAATTAAATGCCGTTCGTCCACTTTTGACTCATAGTGTTTTTACATTGGGATCTGAGGAGAATTTCCAAAACTGTAAAATCATTTTATTAGGCAATGCAGAGAAGGAAACGGTTTTTCTTCAGGTTAGATATTTGATTCTATCAGGTTAGATATTTGATTCTGTTGCCCTCAATAATCCATTTGTACCATATAGTCAGAATCCACCCGTAACTGCCCCTCAGGCAGGTTTTCAGAGGCAGTTAATCCGTCTGGAGGAGATGGCACATCCTCCCGCTGAACAGCTAGTGGTCTTGAACCTTAAGTCTTCGGGATTGCAGTGCAGCTTCTTGACACTAGGCCAGTAGAGCGCCCCACAGTAAACTTCATTACTTTTTGTTTTCGCCGTCAAAACACTTAAATCACTGCCATTTTAGCAGTTGATAAAATATTGAAATAAAAATCTTATCAGCTGCCAGCCAAATCTCATGACAACACGTATATACCGAGAACAGGATTTTCTTGGAATCCTTATTAAACACAGGTGACAAAAATGAATGGTTAAGCTGCCAGCTGCTAACTGAAAAGATTTCGCAGTTCTAACCCAACCAGCCAAGGTGAAAGCATGTTGCGCAGCAAACCAAAAGGCCTGCCTTTCAGTGGCGGTTAGAAATAACCCATCTGCTCCCCGAGAGAAAGATGGGAGATTAAGATTTACAGGTGAAATTACAGGTTCTGACCTATGGAAAGTAGTAGTCAAAGAAAAAGGGCACAAGGGCGACAGGAGGGAGTGAGCGGGGCCTGTTGCTAGCGGCGTCGCCGCGCATGACGCAAAAGGGGAGCGGCCAGTGTGCGAGGAAGCCGTCCGCTGCGAGTGACGTCATTGCACACAACTCCAGGCTTCCGCTCTTGCGGCTGCAGCGGGGAAGCTTGTGAGGCTGGTTCCGAAGAGTCGCTGACCGGGCTTCTAGCAGATTTTGTGACCTCAGTATGTGGGCCCGTGCTCTAGACCTGGGGATTGCGGGGCTAGCCGAGTGCGGACCTCTATGCGTTTCTGTCTTCTGCAGCACTTGCCGACACCATGTTCGGCTCCAGCCGAGGTGGCGTCCGTGGCGGACAGGACCAATTCAACTGGGAGGACGTGAAAACTGATAAGCAACGGGAGAATTACTTGGGCAATTCGCTTATGGCCCCGGTGGGCCGGTGGCAGAAAGGCCGGGACCTCACCTGGTATGCCAAGGACCGCGTGGGTCCAGTGGGCCTGAGCCGGGAGGAGGAGCTGGCGGCAGTGCGGCAGGCAGAGCAGGAGGCTCTAATGGCAGCTCTGTGAGTGGCTTCTTGGGGCGATGGCAGAGGCGCCCCTAGGGCCGGGAGGTTTGGGATCGGGGTAGGGGATCAGCCCTTCCTGAAGCTTGCCTGACCCTGTTGCAGAGGCTACAAGAACGTGAAGAAACAGCCGACAGGCCTGAGCAAGGAGGTAACGGGCCGAGAGGCCCTGAGGTGGGAGCGGGGAGGTCTGAGCTCTGCACGATGTCCTGGGAGGGTTCGGCAGAGGCCCAGAGGCCTGTGTGATGACCTTGCTTTTCACTCCCCACAGGACTTTGTCGAGATTTGTAAGCGAGAAGGAGCAGATCCTGAGGACAAGGGTGTGGACAGGCTTGTGGGACTGGGGAGCTCCAGGTGCGGAGGCAAGGGTGGTGGTGAACCCTTACGGGGTTCTCCTGAGATAGAGGAGCTTGCTGCAGATTGAGAATTTGATCAAGTCATCACAAGCCCAAGACCCCAAAGCCCTCCCGTTGCAGTGCTAAGTGGCCAGGTGGATGCAGATGCGGGGCTGGGTGGCATCTTCAGGGCACTCATGACTGCTACACAACTTGCCCTGCTTCCTATGGACACGTTTTCCTCCCTTATGTTCCTACAGTGGCTCCGCCGGCCGAGTGGTGCTGTCCAGAGAAGACAAGGAAGCTGCCAAACTAGGGCTGTCGGTGTTCACAGTAATGTCCCCCCCCCCCCCCAAACACATCAGGAGCCAATACTGGCAAGGTGGGAGGGACCTGGGTCAGGGCCCGCCTCATGGGGAGGAATGTTTCCAGCTCCCCGATCTAGATTTGAACTTGGATGGCATCTTGCGGGTTGTCCAGGCCTCCTTCTGGGTCCTCACTGTGTAACTCCGGCTTTTCTTGACAGCACCACCGAGTGGAGAGTTGTGGGGCAGGGACCTCCACAGCCTCTGCCAGGAAAAAAACGCACTCTGAGGAAGTGGACTTGTGGTAAGATAACTCATTTTCTCACAGTCCACAGGCAAGACTTAACTCGGGGTTCTTGACCTCCTGCATGCTGTTTTTAATGATAGGCCTTTAAGACTTTCTGGGCTTACTTAGGTGCCTAAGTCTAGGACAGTAAAGTCTCAGCAGCACAGAACTGTCTTTGCAGACTAGTGGCTCAAGTTCTGAGCTTGTTGGGCTGCTTGCTTGTGAATGGTTTGTGTCCAATGTCAATGCCATCTATGATCCAGTCTCAGCTCATGTCATTCCCCATGTTGTCTCTTGCTTCTCATTTGTCATCTAAGATCCCAGTTTTCCCTGGAAAGTGCACCTGGTGAGATCCTGGGATAGCTTTCTAGTTTCAGATTCAGGTGACAGCCCTGGCATGAACGCTAAGGCTGAAGAGGAATATTCACAGAAGCTGTCCTGGCTGGATGGGCCTGTGCACCTAGCCCAGAGGTGGGGAAGGGTCCATAGCCCCAGTGTAGATGTGCAAGTCCTGTCCACACTTGATGTCCATTTGAAAGGCACAGCAAAGACAGGCCAAGGGCAGTTTTGAAACCAGATGGTAATGAAGACCCTTCAAGAGTGGAGTGCTGGTTGTACAGGGTGGTCAGCTGACCAGCATTCAAGCACTTGGAAAGTGGGCTGAGTGTGTGGGTATGTAGGCAAGGGCACCCAGGAGAGTGCTGGTGTCTGCATAAATAATGTTCTGCTGCAGTAAGCTTGTACCTCCCCTCTATTTCCCACTGTGGAGTTGCTGGCCACAGGGAAGAGATGTGGCTGGTATGACAGAAGTACAAATTTATCATTGCTTGCACTTAAGTAGGTGGTTCGAAACCACTGACTAAGTCTTGCCCTGTGCAATATACAGCCTCTAAAACCTATTGGACAATTGGCTTGAATCAGTTCTGACTCCATGGGAAATGACTGACTCCCCCCCATTACAGCTTAGTATCTCACTGATACACAAAGAGTTATGGAATGTTTTGTGCTAATCCTTGCAGCTCTGACAACCATAAGAAAAGCAAGAAAGAGAAGAAGAAAAAGAAGAAGAAGAAACACAAGAAAGAGAAGAAAAAAGAAAAGCACCACAAGAGAGAGGTGGTTGCCTCCTCTGCATTATCTTCTGCTGGGTAGGCCTGTAAGGTCTTTGGGAATGGTGTGGTTTGGAGGGAGGGCATGCTTCTCAAACAGAGGATGTGGCAGCATGCAGTCTGTGCACCTCAGGGCCCAGAGCAATCAGCATGGGCAGTGCATTCTCCCAGCCTGCCAGGGATCTCCGGGACCCATTCTGAACCCTCACTGGGCTGTTCCCTGGTCCTCCTCTAGGCACAGGCGCCATCGCCATGACTCCAGTTCCTCAGCCAGTGACCACTCCTCCCCCTCCTGCAAGAGGAAGAGGGGGCATGGTTTATGCAGCAGGAGGAGCCCTGAGTCCCACAGACGACAGGAATCTGACTCTGATGCCTAAGTCATGTGCACCTGCTGCATTGAACCCCAACCCTGGGTCTGTGGGGTTTAAGGTTAGCTTCAGGCTACTCTGCTCAGTAAGGTTAACCGTGACCATGGGACTACTAATGGACTCCTACCACCACAGGGAAATGCCAGAGAGGAGGCTGGCCCTGTCCATTGAAACGGCAGTCCCATCTCGGCCTGGAATGAGGGCAGAAGCCTGTCTTGTCAAGCCAAGGTCCTAGAAGGTGGTCTAGTGATGAAGCCTGACCAAGCCTACTCTGGTGAAAACCAGCCTGCCTTGGATGTCCCAAGACCAAACATCCTTTGCTGGTTCTGTTGTCGTCCTCAGCTCCCAGGTCTCCCCAATTTCCTATATCAAGTATGATGACTATTTTTCTTTACCTTAATTTGCTCTTTTTAAATAAATTTATTTTAAAAGGAAGTGTGCCCTGTGCATGGGAGACTATCACGTTAGACACTGACCATGTAGACATTAAATAGCTACTGGCCTGTGGAAAGCCATTCTAAGACTTTGTTGAGAGAGGCTATCCAACATGTACCTAGATGTGGAACTGTTCTAGGGAAACTACAGCTGGCACCCTGCCCTTGTGTCCACTGCAGGACTTTTCACTCCATCTGTTAAGATGCTGGATTGGGCTTTAACAGTGATTCTTCTTTGAACTTCTCATAAGCATGGAGATTCATTTCCTTAGTGGTTGAGGGACTTGGTGTTTTTACCCAAGGCCCTGGCACAGTTTTAAAGAGGTCCTTCCTATGGACAGAGGACCCCACACTGCTAGAGGTAGAAATTCACTAGAATTTGAGGACCTGCACAGGTAACTAACACAACAGGCGAAAATGATCCTATCAACACAAAGTTACGGAGAAAGGTGGTTGAGGGACAGCTCCAGCCAGATTGTCAAGGCCATGTTCTAGGGAGGGAATAAAAACTCCTAAGGTCACGCTTAAAGCTCCAGTGGTTCTCATCTATCATACTGTACCTAGCACCTGTATCCAGTAAGGTATTTTCTGCCTATCCATATTAAGTTCCCCAACAGACAGGTGGCTGGGTGCTGGCTCCCTGTGTGGACAGGCTCCTGAACTGTGGCACATACCTGCACTCTTCTCAGTAGGCAGTAGTCAAACCAACCAAGGTCAAGTTGGCCATGAAGGAGGGGCTGGGAAGATCTGCAATCCTGAGGCTGCCAGTTTGTCCTCCAACTTCAAAAGCTACCTGTTTGAGGCATGAGGAAGACTTTGGAGTCCTGACAAAGCAGTGAGCCCAGGCCCCTGCCCTAGTGTCTGTTGGCACCTCTGCCATAACCCATCATCTGCTCTGCTGCAGGGAGGGAGAATATGCAGAGCCTGGTTTAGTTCTGTGCCCACTCGGGTTGCCCAAGCCAACTGCAGTGGCATAAAGACAAATATTTCTGGCTGGACTCAGTATGTATTTTGCTTCTGATTTTAGAAATTGTCACTTCTGACTGGAAACCACAGGCCCCTTGTGCCTGTAAGTATTGTCTGCAGACTTGCTAGTTATGGGTGTTTCCAAGATGCTGTGTGATGATTGTCTGAGGCTCTCACTCATTCTCTGCACACCCTTTGTAGGTTTCCCTCAGGAGGGAAGTCAAAGTCTCCGGCAGTACTGAGAGTATATCTTAAGTTGAACTGGTACTCTGGATGCCATGCAATTTGGGACAATGTCCAATGGGCTAATGTCCAAGGTGGGGCACTTGACAACAAATGCTACCCACAACCAGCAGAACAGCTTCGAGGGCCACCTCCCAGAACTGGCTCTGGATTCTGAGGCCTGTGGGAAAGCATTCTTATCACCTCTTCTTTCAAGAGGACTTCCCAGGAGTCCCCTCTAATCTTTGGCACAGCTTGCCTCTTGTAAAGATAAATGGATGGTGCACTCTAGTCCCTCTCCTCCCAGGGGGGAGGTTGGGTCAATAGTCCTAAGACAGACTTGTATGAAGCCTTTGTCCTGATAGGGCAGGAATACAGCTGTTGCTTGTATTGCTGGTCACAGAACCCTACTTCCAAGAGAGGTTCCCTCTGGACAACCACAACACAGCCACAGACCTATGCTCCTGCATCTTGAAGGAGATGAGCAAGGGAACAAAAAGCCACAATCTGCTTATTCACAGTAAGTCCCAGAGCTGGGCTGCCTCTATCCCCCATGGCAAAACACCTTTTAGCTATCTGTGACAGCCAGTAGCATCAGGAGGCTTTGGGATCTGGGCTCAAAACCACTATCTTGACTTAACTCACACAACTGGCACAGCACCTAGGGAAACAAAGGTGTTCAGGATGCATATTGGGTTCTCCATAGGGAGTCTGTTATCATCACACCTCACCTTGCTTGCTCACAATGTGTCTCAGAGCATGCCAGTATCAAGAGGCACCTTGCTGAGTGAGAAGGAGATAGATCTAAAAGTTAAAGACCATTTAGTGACCCCCATAGCCCTAATTCTGCTCTGGAAATCCAATTAGCCCTGTAGATGCCAGAAAACACACCATCACATGGTCTCACTGAAGTCTAATCTGAGGAGGTGGAAGAAGAATGGTGAAGATGAAGTTGAAAAATATTCAGGGGGGAAGATTCCTTCAGCCCTGGTTACAAAGGATGTGGTTATACTGGCAACTGCAAACAATCAGCATAGGAGCTAAGGGCAAGGTAGAGTGTTGTACGTGGTGGTCTAAATTTTTAGTAAGAAAAAGGCTCTTAAATCTTTTCTGGAAGTAGTGGGCAGGAACCAAGTAGTTGGTGGGTAGCAGCACTGAAAAGCTCATGAAATAGTTAAGAGATTTTATTCTAATAGCTATAATTACAGTGCTTGTTTGTCGAAATGAAAACTGAAAACAAGTATACAAAACAGTTGATTACTAATTGTGTATTGAAAGCAGTAAGAGGTTCCACGACACCAAATAAACCAGTTCTGAGGGGTTTCTCCCCCTGGAGATAAAATTTAACAGCTCCAGCTTCTTCAGTGTTTATCAAAATACAAAAGAAAGAAGTGTAGAGGTCGTCGTTTTCTCGCTGGCAAATCTGACCCTTGCAGGATGAGGGAGTGGAAGCTACTTCACACATGTACAGACAGGGGTGCTCCGACGGGCTGTGCGCTCTAGGTGGAATGCTCCCAGCTCGCATGCACTCCTGTGGGAGGCCCTATGCTCTAGGAGTCTGCTGCTCTGGCCAAGGTCTCTGAGTATGCACTGGGAGTAATGGGCTCTCTGCTCTGGTTAAGTGGTCACACGAAAGCACCACACACACCTGACCAAAATAAAGGTTGGTAGTTCTTTGCTTTCTTCTAAATTGAGAGCCCAAAGGCTGCTGCTCATGCCATAGCCCATTGCAGAGGTACCCGCTATGGGTCCTTTTGAGTGGCCGACACGAGTGGCTCAGTGACCCAGCATAGGGCCTGCTGTGCTCAGATGGTAGCCTGGGCCAAGCACAGCCTCAAAGCTTGTTTCCTTGGTAACCGTGTGAGCACAAGTACAAGCACAAACTCTATGAAATACAGGATGAACCAAAGACAAAGCGTAATTACAGGGATCTCTATTGTGACCATGCAAAATTGATCGTGGGTTTGTTTTTGTCACCTTCTCTCACGTTCCCAAAGGGAAACACGGACGATCAGATGGACTAGTACTCAGGTTGTTACTGTAAAACCTACACTAGGCTTATTTCTCCCTTCTGTGTATTCAAGTGTTCGCCTTTATTGTAGCTACTTTTTAAAAAATGCACTGAGCTCAGGTTAAAAACCAACCACCAAAATGGATGTCAACACAGGTCTCAGACCAAGAGAAGGGCACTCGGCTCTTCGAGCACAGTAACTCCTGGGAGCCCAGGGCCAGTGTGTGGAAATCCCTTCTCAGTACTGAACAGTGAGTTGATTTTTCTTTTTTACAATAAAAAAAGCTGAGTAATATTGCATAGGAGTACCAGAAACTGCCTCATTGGAAACAAAAACTATTTACATTAAATAAAAAACCTGTTTGCAGGCTGCGTCTGCCACATTTACAGCATGGTGCATACACACTGTGACCAAACCCATGGAGACAGCTTCTGGCACTCGACACCACAGAGCCGCATAGTTTGCCACATGAGAGTAAAGCAGAGGGTGGAGAGAGGAAGGAGGAGGGAAAGGAGGCAGAGAGGAAGAGGACAGGTCTCGGCTCATTTCTGGTTTCGGAGCTGATTGGACAACCAGTCCAGTCCTTCATAAAGCCCATCTCCGCTGGTGGCACAGGTGGCCTGAATGTACCAGTTTCTGTGGCGAAGGGAGTGCAATCCCAGTTTATCTGTGATCTCAGCGGCATTCATGGCATTGGGAAGGTCCTGGTGAGAAAGAACACAGCAGGGGTCTAGGTAAGTAAGCAGAACCCCCCCTGGGCTACCAGCCCTGACCAGCTGTCCACTGAAGAGGTACAGTGTGTACAATCCACCATGAGCCCACTATTTCCCTCATTCCTCTGTACTTTTAAATTCACCTAATTGTGTAATAATTACTTTTCCAGCAACTAGCAAATAAGATGGCTATGACAGTCAAATTATATTCTTGAAGTGTTTGCTACCAGAGACATTTTTTGTCAAGTCCCTGGGTGTTCCCAGGCCCAAAGCCCAGAGCCTTGGGCAACCCCGCCACATCACTGAGAGTGCCACACAAATCCTCCTA